GCGACCGCGCTAACGATCATTATCGAAATAACCCCCTCGTCGGCTGCCGACGTTTTCCCTCGTTTAATTAATCTATCGACGAAACTGAAACACTTCGGGAAACGACACGCTGCAGGCTTTCCCCTTTAATGTGTAATTGCACTACCAACAACGCGCGAGACGTTTCGCTAGCGAAACAAAGGGCCGTCGCTGCCTCTGAAGTTTACTACAATTAAAATATTCAAACGCGCCGGTTAACGCGACAATTTATCGACAAAGCCGTCGCGTTACACTTGCCGGGGATTTCAAGTAAGCCACCCCGTTCAGCATCGTTTGGGAAATTAAAATGCCACGATTAGTTGACTAAAACCGAGCATTATTTGGTTATTAACAGGAATCAGAAGCTCTTTGCTGAAACCTCGAGAACACCAAACCAAAATACTTAAAATTTTATATTGTGCTTTGAGGAGACCTATTTCAGAATATGGCAGAATAATTTGGTCTTCTTATCATAAAACGTACATAAATAACATTGAGAGAGTTCAACACAAATTTCTTCGTATCGTTGCTAGACATAGTGGGAGACCCATGCCTCTTGAGTCTCATAATTATGATAACTTACTTATTAATACTAATCTCCAAACACTGCATAGTAGAAGAAGAATTGCAGATATGTTTGTAAGTAAGCTAATCAAAGGTCATATTTCGTGTTCAACAATTCAATTGTTTCCTTTGTATGTACCATCTAGATATTTAAGAAATCACTTTTTATTTTACTCTGAAAGTTACCGCACTACGATTGGATCTCAGAATTGTGTAAATAGAATGATTAATAATGCAAATTTTGTACACACTTGAACAATCATTAGAAAGTCTAAGATTATCCTTGCAACATATTCCACATCTGTAGTTTCTTGCATATTACATCTTTGTACCAAAGGGTTTAATACTCGTTAATAAATAAATGGAAAAAGTTTGTCCGGATTTCTGGATAATATTTCCATCTCGCGGGAGAAAGATGGAAATTTTCTTTTCGAGGAGGTGCGCCGAGAGGAGGGAGCGAAACGGGGAAAATCGTGCGTACTTTAGGGCCTGATTTACATCGGGAATTTTTCGGATTTTTCAAACGAAGCAACGAACTCCATCGCGGACGCTGGGAATAACAGGTGAACGCACTGCGAGCGGACCGTTGGCGTAAATCAGGCCGAAGAGTGTTCACCGTGACAAATGTGCCTCGTGGTTTGCTACCGTGCGATCTACAGGTGCGTCTCGGGACAAATTCGACGTCAAGTATTTGTCAAAGAACGAAGGGGAAAGAATTAAAGCAAGAAAAACCAGCAAAGCATCCTTCGAAACTAATTTACACCCTGGTAAAGAGAAATTTAAATCTCTTCTCTTTTCGAAGGTCTCGTTAGTAGCTGGAAAGAAAATTCCAGCAATTAAATCGTAGCGACTGTTTAAAATTCTTACAAATCGCTAGGTGTGTTTACGAGTGCCGGGAGGGAAGGTTTTCGTGCGAAACAGGAATTAAAAATAGCAAGCAAAAGGGAAACAAGTTGTTCGCGGAGGGGTGACACGACACCGAGAAACACGCGTTGGGAATGTTAATTAAGGGTGTCTAACGGCCGCGGCCGCGATAATAGGCGCCAACGGTTGACATTTTTCCTCTTAAAACCGTTGACGAAACGCACGGGTAACGCGCGAGCTCAGCAGCCAAGCCGGAATGAAAAACAGTGTCGAACGGCGAACTTTTATCGAACAAACGACGCCTGTAAAATAGGAGCAAAAATATTCTGAAACAATCACCGTGGTCTGGTTAAGCTCGTTTCGGCCCTCCCTCTAGAATTTCGGTCCACTCTAAATGTCCTCTCCGATTGGGAGCTGCCATTCGGCGAAATTCCGGCGCCCAAAGGGCCGTCCGGCGGAACGAAAGGAAACGAAACGAAACGGAAGCCACGACGATCGACTCCGCAGGTGAATTCGTAGGTGACGTCCCGGAGGAGCGACGGGGGTGTGAGCGGGGTACAAAGGGCGGGTCGGTGGCAAAAACTGTGAAGCGCTCTGTAGAATTTTCAATAAGGCGGGGTCGGAAGAAGAAGATTAATGCAACGCCGCCGGGGGACCTTAGGAGACGACAGCGACATGACTGTCAAAAGAACATCCCCAGAGGCGAAGTCCATTCGCTCCTACGAGTCCGCAATCCCCTTCCCTTCCACCCCTCCCCCTCAGCCCGTTGGCAGACCGTTCCCTCTTCCTTTTCTTCTTCTACTTCTCGTTCTCGTTGGTTCGGTCTTCGCTCTTTCCTTCGCCGCTCTCCATCCTCCTCGCTCCTTTGCGGAATTCAAATCTGTTCCAGGTCCTAGGTTCTTCGTTTGTTACAATAATAGTTGGCCCTTGGTTTCTTTCCACCAGCCTTTGCGAAAATGTATATCCTCCGCCAAATATTTCCCCGTTTGTTTATTCCACGCGTGTTTTTCTCCTGTTCTCTGGTTACTCGGCTCGTCGCTCGGCGTACGCTTTCTCCGTGTGCTTCGGGTCGCGGTTGATTCCCTTCTTCGTCTAGGCTTTGCCATTTGTTCGGTCGTTACCCCATCCCTTATTACAGCCCCGTTTCTCTCCTTTCGCTTTCTGCGCGCAGACAGCCTTTACCCTTTATTTCCCTTTGTCCCTATCAGCGACTGGTCTCCCTCCCTCTCCCCCGACGCTGTCTGTCTGTCCGTGGCTCCGGGAAGTGCATACGCGTGCAGGTGCACCCGCCTCGGGGCAGCCGAGCGAGACGACTCGTCGGAGAGGAAGAAAGTCCTGCCGCGTCCTCTGGGCCAGCGCCTCGTCGTGCCGGGGCCGGGGCTGAGGACGGTTCAAAGCGATCGACGGCTGCGACAACTGCAACCCCTAACCTCCAGGACGAACCTCGGGACCTCGAGACAAACCGCAATGCCTGGTCGCCCGTTCGATCAATCACGCGCGCCGACGGATGCACACGTTCAGCCGCGATAGCTTCGAATCGACTGACTGCGAATGCCAGTCCGTTTAACCCCTTGCATCGAGCAGCTCGTTAGGGGCGCAAGCTTTCGGGCCGAGGGACCCGATAACGATCGCGGCAAACTGCGATCCACGATTCTCGTTATTTTCCCGACACGATCATAGCAACTCGAGAACCAACAAAAATGTATTAATTTTTAACCGAACAAACATCCCCTGGCGATAAAATTAACGTCGTTATTGCATAGTCTTCGTAATATGGGTCGAAGGAGCGGTTAAAATTATCCCTTTCTTAGGTTAACAGTGTTCTCGATAACTCGTGGACCGATCGATCGATCTGCGCGCTTCGACACGATCGGTGAACGGAAGAGGAAGACGAACAGGGGGGCAAAGTCTTGGAAAAAAAAGGCGAGGAAACCGGAGGAGGTCGATAAAAAGTATCGTCTCCGTAACGAAAGTCGTGGCGAGAAGGGCGGTAAAGTTTTTCCATCGTTATAAAGATAACCGCGACGCGGTGGTCTGAATTGCGGCTGGTGGCGGCGGTAAACGTGCTGCGCGTACCGTAATACGTTCTGCGTGTATACGTGCATTAGCATTCGCAGAACAGACACGAGCATAACCGTGGAAGACGTTCGGAGCGTCGCGGACAAGTGCGAGTATCTTGGGCGACACCGTGACTCTAACGGTGGCTCTGATCCGTATTCATACTTCAAATTCTGCGTTAAGCGTGTTTCGCTTCGAAACACTCACCCCCAGCCTCCACCTTTCTCCACCGAACTTCTTCCTTTTCATCGCAGACGCTTCTGCGTGCTTTCTATACGACTGGAGTTACGAAGCGCGTTCGCAGTTAAGCGAACCTACTTTATAGATAATTCGAGTTTCAATTATACGCTGGTTGTCGGAGTAAAAATTAATTATCGAATTTTTATAGAATTTGCCATTTTTACCGGCGTAAGAAATGGAAATACACGAATAGCGCGAAACGCGTTAGATTGCCAAATCATCGAGCCGACGAACCTCGAGGCCAGACGATTAATTTGCGTTTAATTTTTCAGCGCGAACGCTCGTTGATCCTGTTCTCTTTTTCAACGCGGACCGTGTCGCCTGTTTTTCAATAATCGAACGACCGGAGGTAATTTACGGTTTCTACTCCGACCGAGCAAGTTATGTTATTCGTTTCAATTGGAGCGTCAATTTACACTTTGGACTGGTTCGCCGTAAATCTATTTTTAGCGAAATTAAAATCTTGTAAAACAGTGACGTTTCATCCCGGTTTTGTAATTAATTTTAATCGATCGACGAACTCGTCTGCGACCGTCGTAGGCAATAATAACGTTTCCGAGGACGAAATTATGCGCACGCAATTCTATTTTACGAGTTTCCAAATTGACAACAATTTATTCGCTGCAAATTGACGAGCAAAATTATTCGCTTTTATTGCTTTTTCCCGTTTCGCTGGTAAAGTTGTCCGAAAATGTTCGCCCGTCAAAGTGCATTCCCGTCGCGGAAAAATGTATGTCACCGAAAACGTAGTGTAGACAAATCTTCTCCGGCGACAGTTACTTTAAGCATGGTTGAAACAATTTTTGAAAACGCGTTGGAGATGCTTTCGATGAAAAAAGAAGAACGTATCGTGCCGGGAGGGATCGATAATCTTGCAGGGAGCTGAGTTACCGGTGACCGAGGTGAACGATGTTTCGGCCGCTCGCCACAGATGGTACCTGCAGTACGAACTGCGCTATGGATCATCGTATAGATCATCGTATATGTCCACCGACGGGGTATAGAATAAAATCTTCGTTATTTGCTGGACGTTCTCATTAATAGTGTCATATATCATCGGCTCGAAATATTATATATTTACCAGACCGCTAATATTTTGCACCTCTGACGCAATTTTACGCAATCTACAGATTTTATTAAAATAATAAATTTTCATACCAAGCATGCGTTTCCACTTTTACGATAGAATCTTCGACCCCCAACTCCTGCTCAATATTAGAATCCTGACCGCCCTTTCGATACATCAAAGCATGCAGTTACTCCGCGGGTAAGGATGGTGGACAGTAACACTGATCCTCTTTTTCGGCGGCGTAGCGTGCCGCGCACTCTTTGAGCAAAATCTTAAACGGATGCGGGGTGATATTCTCGGAAGCCAACAGGAGTTCTTCGGTGAGCCTCTGATACTCCTGCTGACGTTTCGACTCCTCGAGGCGCAGCTTCTCCTCCTCCTCGAGCTCGCGACGGCGAGCGTCGTCCGCGTGGCTCCACTGCTCCTCCAGTTCCTTCTTGTAACACTGCCTCCTGTTCCTCGCTTCCTCTCTTGCGCGAGCAGCCAATTTGCCCTCCAGCTCGATCTCTTTTTCCATCGCCTCCTTCTCCAACTTACGACGTTCCTGTTCCCCCCTCTCCTTCTCGCACTTGAGCCTCAGTTGTTCATCGAGACCCCGAAGACACTCCCGAAGGCCTCTTTGCCTGGCCTCTTTCGACTCCTTCCTCGCGAGATCGCGCTTCGCGTTAGCTTTCTTCATTTCCTCCTCCACTATACGGTCCAACTCGATGTTCCTTCTGGCCTCCTCTTTCCTCAGATTTTCCATATAGCCGAGGTAGGCCAGTAGCTCGTTGCGCAGAGCCGCGCTGGCTTCTTTGATGGTATCCCGTTCCTTGGCCAGCTCCTCGTCCGTGATAGTCTGTCGCAAGTTGTCCAACTCGGCTTCCCGACGAGCTCGTTCGGCCAACTGTCTCTTGGCGATCAGTATTTGTCCCTGCAAGTCCTTCTTCAGGTTTTCCCTCTTCTGTCGCGCCTTTTCCAGGTTTTCCAGCTCCTCTCGACGCATCACTTCCAACAGACAGTCCAGGTACTCCCTGTCCTCTTTCTGCACCTGTTTCTTCCGCTCGTCGAGGGCCAGCTTTCCCGCCATCTGCATAGCCAAAGTCGTGGTCGCCTCCTGATTAGCCAAGCAGCGTTTCTTCGTTTCCTCCACTTCTCTTTCCTTCTTAGCTTCAACTTCTTTTAGCATCAAAGAGTGCCACAGCTTCTCGGTTTCCTCCTCTGCCCGTCTCTTGGCCGCGTTGTCCTCCATTTGAGCCAGGTTGATCTCCTTCGCCTCATTCGTGTACTTCTTTACTATTTTCTCGCGTAGATCCGGGCACTGGGCTATGTACTGCTGCATCCTCTTCGCGGCCACCAGAGCCAGCCGTTGCTCCTCTCGCCGTCTTCGCAGCTCCTCGGTCTTCTGGCGCATCTCGTTCATTCTATCGTCGTCTCCGTGCTGAGCCTGCTCCACCACCTCGCGTGTCAGGCCCATTTGTTCCCGTAACAGCAACTCTCGCAGCTTCTCCCGTCGCGCTTTCACGCCTTCTTCGTAGGCTGCCAATCCTGCGACATCGAGCAACTGTTAACGATGCCCGAAAAGCAATCAATGCTGCCCAAGGCGTATCTCGAAAATGTCATACAGTTTAAAAATATAAGACATTTTGTTGTTTCACATGTACATACTCCTGAGAAGCTAGAATTTCTCGAGGATTAGTAAATAAAATACTGAAAATCACATACGGTTATCTCGTTTAGACTCCTAGATCGGAAATTTTCCTTATATTTCCCGCAACGATACAATTCTTAACCTAGAAACGATTTCGAGAATATGTTTGGAAGCGTGCAATGGTCTCGCGAGGACACAATTCTAAAACGATTATCACCAAAACGCCTCTACGAAGATTCCACTTACACGGAGCCGCGTCGCGAACGCACGGCGTCTTCCTAAGTACCTTGCTGAACATGCTCCCAGACTTTCTTCCTGCCGATCTTCCTACCCGTCTGCTCCTCGAAGTCCATAGTCTTCGTCACATGCTCGTACTCTCTTCGCCTCTCCGCCTCGTAGCGTTCGAATGCGGATCTATCCTGGAGCTCGACGATCCTGCAGGCGCGTTCCCGCAATCTGTAGCCAATAGCCCCTTTCGGGGACCCGACCACGGCTTGGGGGTACTTTCGCGGCTTCAGGGGACCGCATTGTACGTTTTGCAACGGAAAGATACTCATGCTTCGAAGAATTGCTGCGTTAGAATGGCCCTAGTCGAACAGTCCGCGAAACGTCCCCGACGTTTGAATCGGTGTTTACCGTTACTATGACGATCACCGACCCTATCGAATTAATATTCGAGTTCGTGGAAAGAGCGTGGAACTAGGGCTAATTTGCACCGAAAAGAAAACTTCTGTTTGATGTAGAGTATTGTAGGGTGTCCCACGCTCTTTGCGAAACTAAAAGCAGCAGGAGAGTAAGAATTTTCAAGCTCTTTTAATCGGTTAGTGACGGGGAAGAAACGATAGATATGTAGGAAGACGAAGAATCCTCCCTGCGCATAGTTTAAACTCTCTCGGTGTTCTCGAACTTTCAGCTATCGGTATTCTCGGAATTATCGGGCCCAAATCTCCCGACGTTTCGGCAATATTAAAATTACGGGATTAACTTTGAACGGCGTTCTCGCAGTAAGAAAGTAATTATCCGGCAGAATTCGGCGTAAAATCGTCGGATCAGAAACAAGAGCAATACAAACTCGATGAGAAAGTGCTAACATTGCGCGCCGGCGAAACTTCAGGACTTCGACGAAGTGGCTGCTCGTCTTTCAAGTTCATCGAGTTTACAAGACTTGGCGTAGTTCGATTACACGCCCCCGGGCATGGCTGTAACGCAATATCTATATCGAAGTAATCAAGCTCACAATATCCCCGATTTAGGCAGGAAATTTCGCGGAGCTGAAAGCCGGAGCGATTGCACGCGTCGGGTTGCAAATTATGCGAGAACGCGAGCCCCGATCCCACGATAAACCGACGAGTCTCCAACGAAACACACGGAGACGCGAATAATTTTCTCTTCTCGTTCCCTCGACTATAAGTGATTCGTTCCATTCGACGGGAAACCGGGAGAGGATTTTTCCATAGAGAAAATCCTACGCTTTTATTAAAAAAGAAACTCTGCAGAGACGATACGACGAAGAAAGATTCCCTGATGCCGATCGATCCTCTGTCTCCCAACAATTTTCGTAAACTAGATTCGCATTCGCGGATTTGCGCGTCAAACGGAAAATAGTCCGAACTTACGTTCTTTCTAAAAAGATGACCAAAAGGTCTGCGTTATAAATTAATTATAATTTGTCAAACGTATACTATTTGATGTTTGTGCGTGCAATGCTTGCAGAAATATGTTGATCTTAATATATTAAAGGAACAGTGACGAGTTAGATGATGGCGAGGTGTTAAACTCTGCTCGCCAAGAATGGTTTCCGGCAAAGTGGAAGGCACCGGAACTTTGTGTTTAATCGATCAACCGACGAATCGCAGATTCGTTAGTCAAATATCGCGATAGTTTGTCCGAATTACCGATGGGTGGAGCATCGATTCCGTGGTTTTCTCGAAGGTGAAAACGCGAACCAAAGGATTAATGATTGGGTCGGAAAACTAACCGATTCATACTAACCTGGCGTAGGGGATACCATGATCAACGAGGTGGTTCCCCCGGGCGAGAGGCCACGAGCTGAAGCCTGTAAGTACTCCTAACGAGAGTATTTGTGCGTTTAATTTTTGACAGTGTGGGGTTCTCGCCGGAATGGAGACCCCACCATACACGTAATCGTCCAACAAAATTTCTTCGTGCTGCTGCCCGTCGAATAAAAATATTCTGGTATTCCTGTTATCGAGTGGAAGCAATCGATTCCACCGCAATCGTTGCTGGAGGAGTTGGATAAAGCAATGCTCGATAAGATTCAGGGAAACGCGTAACCCATTTCGTTCTGCGAGACGTCTTCTTTAAACGGCGTATTTCGCGGAGGTAAGATGCGTTTTCCGGGTACGCGAAAGAGAGATACATCGAGAGGAAGAGACGGGCGATCGTTTGATGAAAGAGCCGAGAGAAGGACTTTTTTGTCGCGGGTCGAAGACGCTTCGGGGAAGAAACCGCTGGGAACAGCGACGAGTGGCGCGCGACACGGCAACGAATTCACCTAGTTACGAGTCGTATAGTCGTCAGGAATCCTCTCTTGAGACATTGACATTTCTTATTGCACAGCTTAACTTACCCCCGAGTGTTCCTCGGACAACGGAAAAGATCGTCTCGAGGGCAGCGAGAACGCCGAGGTTCGAGACGTTCTGACAATGGTGGCTCACTCGATCATCGGGAATCTTCGTCGAAATGGGTCGAAACGATCGTACAGAAGCATTACCATTGACTGAAACGCGATCTCTGGGAAGCTCGCGACTATAAGTCCCGGCATTACAGCGCGAACAGTCGCAACAGGGTGATGGACGCAATAATAAAACGAACCCAGTCGATCTCCTCGCTATCGTAACAACTCTCTGCCTTTTAATCGCAATATACATGAGCTTTTCGTGTATAAACTATTTAATTTTACACATTGTTGCGCGTGCTCGCAATCGGTTCGCCAATACGGTTCTCGCGCGCGATCGAATGCGTTCCACCAGGTTGGAATGTCTTAAAGAGATACGTGTGCGTTGGGGACGCAAACCTCGTTTCATCCGCGTCGATTCGAACGTCCAAGACGCGGAGGGAACGCGGAGGATCGCGGAGGATCGAGTTCTCTCCGTCAGGTGATCGATAATTTCCTGGATCGGTCACCGGCGAACGCCGCATCAGAGAACGCGATCGTCCTTCGACGAAGCCACGATCCGTCCATTAGGAAACCGTTTGGTCCATTAGGCGTCGCGACGTCCAACCGATTAGCGAACTGGACGCCAGCCGAGCGCCGCGGAGACGCGCTTGGCCACGGCTCTCGCGGCGGGTAATTCGCGAACACTCGAGGCGACAAAAACGTCTGTTCCGATCCAGCGAAGCGAAACGGTGCGGAGCGACTCGCTCGAGCGGTGCTGGAAACTGGCGACGATCGGGAGAACGCGTCGACGAGCAACGGAAGCACGATAGGCCAGAAAGATCCGGACAGAGACGTTTACGAAGCATGCATACAGTTTCAAGCTGGTAAAAAAGATTATTTCATGTAACAGAATACGCTAAGAGTACAATGGACCGATTCTATAGTATGATACAAACTAAGGGTTCACAAAGGCGGAACGAAGCAAAGGCACGAATCTATTCTATTATGAATCGATATGATCCTGCTACGCTCCTTCCATCTTTCCAATCTTCTGCACTGGGTGTCGCTAAATTACACATCACGAGTACCATGGTACTTATATTAACGCGACATTAACATTATTTTTGAAGAGAACGGCTGAATTGCAGCCATCATAATCCATGATGCTCGTGACATAACCGGCGTTAACGCGTGCGCGCGATAGTTTTAAATGCAAGAGTAAGCTTAATTGTATAGCGAGATGTTAGCGCGAAGAATTACTCGCTCCGAAGAATAATACGCGTAGCTCCTCGTTCGTGGGCCAATTCAGAGGATGGACGGTCGAACCGTAGCAGGATCGGAGAGGTAACGCGCGTCAAACGGATCGAGGATCCGGTTATCGACAGATTTTCCTAACTAATTCACATCCGGATAGTCGTATACGCGCATGGTTAACCAAAATCTCGGGTGAAACGGTTCAACCGCGTTCATTCTGGAGGGTTATTGTGTGTTCCTGTTTGTCCGTCGTCCTAGCGAAAACAACACGGTCATCGTCGTTCGAACGTGACGTTTCTCGCGGGAACGACTAAGGCGTGGAGCTGGTGCCAGTGGTCGCCGACGGAATTCCCGACGGCGGTGGAACGGAAGTCGGCATCGTTGGCGGCGCGTACGGGCTTCCGCAGAGCTGGTCGGCGATACGTCCACCCTCGCGCAGCCCGCTGAGGAACGCGCCGTGCACGGTGGCCGGATAATTTCTTATGGTATGCTCGCCTGAAACCACGGAATTAAAATCTTCTTTGGTCCCGCAAAAAATCATGCGCCGACCGAGCCTTTTCACAAAGACGAAACAAAAATGCAGACAAGATCAAATCGCTCGAACCTTCTTCTTCACGAGAAACTACGCGAAGGTATGATTTTATCGAGCCCGTAAATAGGCATTATCGAAGTCGATACGGACCAATGACTCTTAAAATTCGGTGCACCAATTACGAAGCTGTTTAAATCCTCTTGAGCGATTCTTCGCGAGCGTAAAAAAAGGTACAGAAAAGCGGAGTTTCTCGAGACGAGACGAGCGAGATTGTCCATAAAGGCAGGAAGCAAGTTGGTTCCGCCGGTGAAAAAAGAAGTCGGTCGACTTTGTCCCGGTAAAAAAGGCAAACGCAAAATAAGCAGCGGCTCGAAATGTCGCGGAGTCTAAACATTTACCTGCGAAAAAGACTCTCGGCTGCAAGGCTGGGGCGCCGGGGGTGGTCGGCGGCGCGACCGGTGCTGCTAAGAGATCGTAATCGCTGCCAGAACTGCCGACCGCGACGAAACTGTAGGAGCCTCTAGCCCAGGGGTCCGCCCTCCATCTCGTCACCACGCTTTCCCGGGGCTGAGGGACCACTTGATTCCCGAAAATACCCTGAAAGGTTCCGCATGAAACTTCCATCGTCCGCTGCACCGATGATATCTTCAACTCTGTTCGATTTACCTTCAACACGGCGATGCAGCGTCCGACGATGACGTCGTCGCTGACGTTTTCCATCACGCAGGCCGCCTCGCCGGCCACTAGTGCCAACAGCACGGGCGCCTTGTACAAATTCCAGAAGAGGAAAAGCTCCCCGCGCGACGCTGTCGTGCTTCCCACGTGGCCGAACAGATTGGCGGTCGGGTCCCAGAAGATCCGCTCAAAGCACAGCACCACCTAACGTGACGGATTTACCGGCGTTACTTACTCTATCCCTTAATCTCCTGTGGAATCCTGCAACGATTATTCTCCACGAGCACGCAGACTCGCGGCCCGTTTCGATACCGCTTAAAAGATCAACGACTCGCGATCGTCGCTCTAGGCTATAACATACTTGCTCCGCGAACAATTTGCTCTTTGTTTTACCTAGCAAGAAACGTGTAAAATTTTGTCGTCGCGAGACGCGGCGAGTGGTCACCGCAGGAGCAAGACGCGTCTCCGGAAGACGGATCTCCCGGAATCGGGGAACGGTTGCGCGCTGCCCTGCTCGATTCATCCAAATTACCCAAAATTTATTCCGTTTCAGCGGCTATCGGGCGAGAAATCCTGACAGCCGTAGCCCGTTTCAGGAACGCGATGAGCCTTTAATTTCGCATGCGAAAGTACGGACGCGCAGCGGTCGTAAAGCGGTCCCGTCCGGGAGGCCGTAAAAGGAACGTGTCCCGGCGTAAGAAGCGACACGAGCCACGTCACCGCTCGCTGCTCGCTGCTCGCGACGAAAGGAGACCGCCGGATCACAATATATCTCATTCGAGCAACGCTCGACAAGTTCGATCGTCGTTTTCGCCGGGCGCATAAATCAACGTGCCCCGGCCCGCGAAGGCCACGAGGAGAATACGAGGGGAGGCCCCCGTCCGCTCGCGGGGCTTTACCTTATTTAAATTGCCGAACCCGAGCCTCTGAATGGCCTGAGACTTCCAGTCCGGAAGCGGCGGGTTGAAGGCGACCGCGGACGGCGGGGCGGAAGCCTTCAGAACGCCCAGCGGCAGCGTGACCAGCACAGCGTCCGCCTTGTAGACAGTGTGATTTGTGTGGGGGCTGCGCGAGGGTGCTGCCCACACTTCTACGCCATTTACCCCGTATCGCACCGCCCTGGCAGCTGTGTTCAATCGGATGTCCAGGCCTTCCGACAGAGCAACAGGTACGCACGAATATCCGTTGCGAACTGCGAACCAATGCACCAAAAGATCATACAATTTATTCTCGCTGCTCCTTTCTTTCGAGAAAACTGACGCGGGGCCGATCCGGCTAAAATTTTCACCACCTCGCTTCGAGCTTGCAACACGTTTCTTTCAAACGATAAAGTAGATAGCCGTGTACTTCAACTCGGTGATAAAAGACCGTGCACCGAGAAATCGGTATACTTGTTATTACGATTTTACTTAACGGACGGATAAGACGCGCGAAAAGAATGATTGCCACGGCACGCGCAAGGGTGGCCCCGGCGGCGGTAAAATTCCGTGGGCCGACGTCATCGGGAGCGATAAAGGCTCCATTGCCGTTTAATTGGATATTTCGCATTAGCGCGGCTAAATCAGGACACCTGACGCGGCCCTAAATTCTCGTAAGCACATTCGAACCCCATAACATCGGCTGCGCATGTACTAATAATGATACACAGGCGTCTCCACTTAGGGGGTTAATTATGTTGATGGCCACCGGTGTGCTAACAAGCACTCTCCTATCGGCGAACGCCATTTCGGAAATTTAAATTTACGCGTTCTCGTGCCAGAGCGCATTGTAATTTGAATTATCGCGCTATCGAGTCGTTGCGAGAAATATAAGGGGGTGGCGGTGCTGGAGGAAGATGGAAAAGTTTGGGCGGCGGATTCGCGGGACACGTTGTTTTCGAGTGGTTCGGGCCGATCTTCTCGAAATTTATCGTCGCGTCGCGAGCGAGAACCGCCTCGTCGTTTCGTTAATTCGACCGATTTAAATTCGACGTCAAGCATTTCGAGGCTGTTCTTTATCCCGTGGCTTGGTGCGGGGGACCAATGCGTGCGGTGGAACGGCGACCGGTCGATCGAGAGACGCGACGCGCGACGCGGTTCGATCCACGCACGATTATTTGCGACGAAACGACACGCCGGATTCGTTATTACTTTAATTGGAATCCATTTGACTGGCGGCTACACCGGTGCGCCGGAGTCGGGTAGACTCTCGCTCGTGTCTGGCGTCGATTACAGAAACCCTTTCTAATAAGCGAGGGAATATTCAACAGCCAGTCAAGGGAACGATCCGCTGCTACCAAAATTATGGTAAGTCGACCCTCCACCCCACCCCTCGTCCTCGTCTCGTTCACTCTCGAATGGGAAATTAATTCCTCGCAATGAGGCAGCCGGTTCCGAGTCGATGGAAATTGTCCACCGAGAACCAGAACCGATCCGGTTTCGATTTCACCGCGCGACAGTTCTTCCAGAATCCTCCAAACGAGACACGTTTCTCTCTTCTTTCGATATTTCGAACAAACGATACCGAGCATTACATTTCTCCCGACTCCCTTTCAATAACGCAGCATCCGAAGGCGAACAATTCCGGACCTTTTCTCGTTAATCGAACGTCCAAGCGCTTCTTACAAAGTAATCCTATTACTTTAGTTGCACAGAATTACGACGAGGTTATAATACCGTTATCGGAAGAGAAGACAGTATCGAGAATAATTAACTTTAAAACTTTAGTCCATCATAGTCTATCAATTATCCGACGCGACAATTGATTCCATACGTCAAAAGTACGACTAACAATTTTCTAGCAATGAAATATTTCTATTCTACTCGGAGATCGACGATATCGTTCCAACGTTCATTTTTATCAAAAAGTCATCTCTAAAATCGGGGGAAAGAAAAAAGCAAACGGAACACGCTTTCAGCGAGTTTCATTTCCTGCTTTCGGTTCGAACGTTCCGAGTGAATATTTCAGCACGCTGGATATACTTTACCCTTGCAGAATCAAAAATTTGTTATACGTATTTCCGTTCCGCGCGTTCGCCGTACGCTCCACTCTCGGTACATTTATGGGGGCTAAAAGGAGCGATAAACGTTGCTACGACGACTATGGATAGACGGGAGAGTCGAAGGGACGATAAGACGAAAAGACCGCCTGCGTTCTCTTTGCTAATGTTATTCCTACGAAGATACGTATCCTCGCGATAGACTGATTTAACGCAATCGCGAGACAAAGAGCAATTTTTCGCTGGCCATTGACCGCGTGTTTCGAAAAGAGCAAACTTGTAAAATTGCACCCGTTAGGAAGATGTTGGGTGAAAATATCGTCCGCGCGGGGATGAAAAATCCATGTCTCCGGGTAAACGGTTCGCGGTACGGAAGAGGCGCGGGCCACGCGTTAACCGGAACTTCCTGGCGACGAGGTTCACCGGTCGGTCTCTTGTTTGCTCGGTCTCTGTTGCGCGCGCGTGAAGGCAAATATTTAAAGAAGAATTTATCAGCGGTGAGAGAGAGCGGCGTACTCTGGAGAACGATCCCGGGGTACGAGGCGACGCGGCTTTTCTCGTTCTATCGTCGGCCGTATCGTCGGGGGCCCTGTGCCAGAGCGAGCGAGCGAGCGACCGAGCCAGCGAGCTTACGCTACCCTCTCGCGTCTTGTCTTCCGTTTGATCTTTGCTCGCAGTATTTTTTGACGGCGAGTCGAACAATTTGTATGCCGCGGTGGTTTTCAATTTACATTTAAATTGGTTGCTTATGGCGTTCTGTCGTCTCGACAGGAGTCGAAGTGCAGCCGGGAGCGGAACAGCGAGGGACGGCCAAAGAGAGAAAGAGGCCGAGGACGGTGGGGCGCGCGAGGCCGACGAAGAGGGCAACCGAGTCGCGGGGGGACGACCGACGGGGCGGGAGCTCCGCGCACCCGACGTCCTGCTCGAACAGTCAAATACTGAAACGGCCCCAAGAGAGAGAGACTGGCAGAACTCTCTGCCGAGTTCAACGCACCGACGACGCTCTGCCGCGGTTTTTGCGCGCCACGTAAACGTGCCGGAACACGCCAGAGACCAAATCGGAGAGAGGGTGACGGCCGCCCGGCCGGGTAGCTTTCGCTAGCAACATGTTCCTGCATGCATACACAGTTGATCAAACGTTCCGGAGCCACGGATACCGAATTTACATTTTACCGATCGACGCCGAAAGGAGCGTGATCCGACCTTCGATGATGACTCCTTCCTTAGATAACGCTAAGAAAGCAGAACCAACGATAACGAATCTAACCAGGCCCGTTACGGTACCAGCGTTTCGATGGAACTTTCCCTTGCTCGGACCATGCTTTTCCAGGTCAACTAACCAGCAGCAAATTTCCAATTGGTTCGTATAAACAGCGATAACGCTGAAAGTTATAAGAAAAAGGGATTTTGGCTCCGAGACAATGTTAACTCGCAACATGTCATTACACTAATTAGTTGCTATTTAAAAAAAAAGAAATACAAACACTCGAGGGAGAAATCAATCTTCCGCTAATGAACCTGACTGCTCCTCGGAATCAGAGAAGCTGCTTCGCGAAGAACGGCTTCAGTTTCAGTGTTTCTCGGGTAGAGGTTTCCATTATTTACAAACAATGAATGGTAACTAAATATTATACAAAGTTTTATCTGCTACATTAATCGATTCGAGGCTAATTAGTAAAACTATTCGCACGCTTCGGCCAGGAAACCTGATCTCCATGATTATCTTCAGCCGCGGCATTTTTTTTATCATTTAACGAACAATTAACAGCACGTACCACAATATAGATACCAAGTAGAAAAAGACAAGCTTTGTACGGACGTAATGGGATTGGATCGGGTTTCCAGAGGTAATTTACATTTTGAAAATTGTCTTCTCGTTGACGCATGTGCTCCAAGTTCTAAGCGGTGGTGTAGAAGTACGGAAGATCGGTGAGGGGGGTTGCTTTTCGTGTTCAACCAACCGTTACATCAACATTCCGCGTTGCGACTCTCGAAAGCATACGTAAGGGAGAGGAAGTCTCATTTGCCTCGTCGAGCAAACATTGATTTTCGGGAATCGGGAAGACCGCTCGTGCGGTTCTTGCAGGTGTACTTCCACCTTTGCGACCCGGTCTTCGATGAAACCCCAACTCCTGCTTAACGGAAGCAAATATTTAACAAACAAACAGCTTCGACGTTAGGCTGCTGCTGCTGACGCGTGGTCTGGAAGAAACTGATTGACCTTTGAGGGTATCCTCTTGCTCGGGAAGATCGTCCTCCCAACCGTTTACGCGACGCGAATTGACTTCTACGGGCCAGCCAACCGATAAATCGTACGTCTTTCAACGAAATAAACCAGACATTTTACCTCGTGCGTCTCGAGGTCAAGGATTTTCAGAACAATCGACGATATAATGTTTCTACTTTCGTAACTGTTTAAAAACTGCAAACCTCGAGTCGAACCTCCCTGATGCGCGTTCAAAAAACGTGCAGTTCGGATGGAATTTGTTCTTGCCATGGCAGAACCGTTTTCGTTTGACAAGGTGTACCTCGGAATCAATAGCGAAATGGATCGTCCCTCGCAAACTGTTGCGAATTGGATTCAAAGCAGTCTCGCTTAAATGTAGTAGAACGCAAAAGAACAATATTTGCGGAAAAGGTAGAGAACGAGGCACTTTCACCCTCCCCCCCCGACGGTAAATATCCCAGTGCTTCGGTTTGTCGCGCGACAGAGGGTCGTTCAGAAACACCGTGGAAATTAGTGTACACGGGTGCGGTGGGGCGTCGTACAACTCCGGTTCGCGAACTCCTCGTTACGCTACCGTGGCGTGGTTAACAATGAACGCGTTCCCAACCGTGTTGCGATCGAAAATGAACTCCGATTCGCTTAACGCGCCCAGACAGACGCCGTCTTATTACCGGGTCTGTGCAGGTGAGATTAAGCGACGCAACGCGCTCTGCTGGATGTTGACGCGCAAACAGACGCATTACACATAAATTAGCGATTAACCGGGCCCGTAGCACCGCGGTCGAAACGACGGGTAAACTTCCGGGACGCTTAGGCGCGACATAATAAGATTAATAGGATGAAAGTTTGAACGAATGCCAGGACCGCTGTTTCTCGTATTAATCATAACTGTCTGCGACGACGTCTCGTTCGTCGGGCTATTACGCTAACATTCCGAACCGCGACTCCTCCTGTGCGTTCCCCAATGGAATTCGCTGGACAAACGGAC